AACCCCTGCCCTGGGCAGAGACACTTCGCACCGGACCTGGTCGGTCAAGGTTTCATCCAGCCTGGCCTTGAACTCTGCCAGCGCTGGGACAGCCACAACCTCCCTGGGCAACCTGTGCCAGTGTCTCACCACTCTCACAGGGAAAATCTTTTTCCTAATATCTGGCCTAAATTTCTCCTCCTTCAATTTGAACCCGTTATTCCTTGTCCGATCACTGCATTTCCTAACACAGAGTCCCTCTCCAGCTCCCCTGTAACCCCTTCAGATACTGACAGGCTGCTATGAGTTCTTTATACAATCTTCTCCAGGCTGAACAGCCCCAGCTTCCTCAGTCTATCCTCATAGAGTAGATGCTCCACTCCTCTTACCAACTTCAAGGCCTCCTCTGGCATGTCCTCTGCTGCAGGATGTGGGTGTTGGCAAAGCAGCAGCTGATACCAAACTGTTGATACAAGATTTTTTGGTCTCTTAAAACCTTTCAGGACATCTTGGTGATGCAAACTGGGGTTGTGCATATCACTACCAACCAAGTGAAAATAAAACCAACAATTCAAAAAGCAGACACAGGACACAAGCAACATGCATGGCACAAATAGACTGTGTAATTTTCCTTGGGATTCAGTTTATGTGTTTGTCTGGTTCATAAGGAAGTAATGATAAACAAGTATAGGTCAAAGTAGCATCAGAGGTGTCACTCATGCTGCTCTGTTCTTTTATCTTTTACCCAAGTTACTTTCTCTTCTTTTGTTCCCATTGAATTTTTTTCTAGGTCAGACATTCCAAGTAACATCACAGGAAGCTACAAAACTGAGTCTGGCGTTCTCAAGGCCTCCACTACCTTCTGCAGAGGTGAGTGGAAGCCTCCACAGACTGAAATAGCAGTGTATGTGACAAGCTTCAGGTATCTCGTGGTTCACTTGACTAAAACGGGTTCTGTGTAAACAAGGGATGTCACTCTGGGCTGTGCATTGTAGAGTGTATTAATCCAATTCAAGAATTGCCCAGAGACCTAATTTCTGTAAGTTAGGTTGACATACTAAATAGAAGTATTTATGTTCCTTTTCTGTAACAGCTACAGCTGGTTGCTGATAGAGACAGAATATTGGAGACATACAGACCTTAGATCTAATGAAGAATATGCAATATTTGTTTCCCGTTCATTGAAGGAAGTTTATTACACCTGTGTTTGGAGGAGAAAAAAAAGAAGGGCCTCCATTTCAGATTAATGGTCTAAGCTACTTCTTCCTCTCTGATACATGACCACCACAGCAAGACATGTTTTGTTACCAAATCATGAGGCAGGTGATGATTCATACAGCTTGCTTACTATGTCTTCTCATGCTGTATTGGTTTCTCAAGCAAGATGGCCATTGCTGTGCTTCCCTTTCCTCAAAGCAGTCTAAAGGCCAGGGATTGCTTGTGAGGCTTTCTAAATGCAGTGCAACCATGTGCTGCTCGTGGATAATCCTTTTGCCTCTCCATTTTCAGGATTGCCAGAAACTGAGTGAAGATGTCCAAAGTGCCATTCTTGCAGTTGCCACAGTGTACTACTGGCTCCCCAAGGGCCAAGGTGAGTTAGTGACAGCAAGGCAGTCACCACTATGTAGAGTGGTGGTTCTTTCAGCACTGCATAAAGAAACCAAATATTTCAGAGCCTAATAGGATTTCTGACATGTGCAGGAATGGAAGTTGTCCCATTATCAGCTGTTCTGTAGACTTTCAGCATGTTTATGAATTAACCACTCGTCTGTCTACTCCTGCAGATTTCCAGCTGTGGAAGGACAATAATGTAGGAAGTGGTATAGTAGATTTGAGTGTTGATATTTAGGAAGTGTTGAAATTCTTGTTCAGAGTCCTTTTGGAACTGGGAAGCATGTTCCTTCCTTCAAAATACCTGTACCTTCATTTATGCAGTGTATTCACACAAACAGAGCAGTCAGTGTGCTCGTCTTCAGCAGCTGTTTTCTGTCAGTGCTGACTTTTGGCAACTTTCTTGCTCTTCCTCAATCTCAACCAGGTACTACTCTTCGGAAGATGGTACGAGATGCTACCACTGAAGTAGTGGAAGGGATGATCCAGCTCACAGACACAATTCTCAGTGCTCCAGCAGAGAGGTTGTAATTTTCAATCACATAATTCTATCATCCTACGATAATTTTCCAGGAAAAAAAAAGAAGAAAAAGTTACAATTATCCTTGTTAGGAAGCTGCAAGTATGGACTGCTTCCTAAGGGAAGTGAGGAGGCAGCAGCAGAATGTTTTTGGAAGCAGGAAGGGGCAGTGGCCTCATCAGCAAAGGCTCAGTTCCTCAGGATCTGAGTGAGTAGAGCAGTGCTGGTGAGGGGAGTGAGATTCAATTGAGAGTTCAGATCATCAGACAAGCCCACAGGGATGAGTTCAAGCTGGAAAGTCAGGCCAGCAAGTCAAGATCAGGGTCAGGTCCAGAGAGAGTAACCAGCATCAAACACCATCCAGTGATTATGCAGTAGAGTGAGTTGGGTCTGAGGTCAAGGCAGGAAGGTCAGATCAGTGAGTCAGGATCCAGGTCAGAATCAAGGTCATATGAATCTGGGTGCAGACATAACTGCTGCACAGCTGTGATGTAGCACAAACAGGGCCCAGCGAAGCAACCTCAGGGTAAAAGCATCTCCTAGGATAAGGGTGGGCTGGTTCTCACTTCTGGCTTTCTTCCCAGTGCCTCCTGTCAGCAAAGGAGCTGACCTTGTACTTAGCCAAGTAAACTCTTCAACTGAGCCTGCTAAATTCCTAGGAGGGTGGAATACACTTGAGGCCCTGACAATACCCTCTTGTCCCAGTAGCTGAGTTAGGTACATGCACAATAGAATTTTGTCCTGTCCGTGACAAGGAGAGATGCTGGGAGCAGGATTCCCATGAAGGTGCTGGATAGAATTTGAACTCTTTGGGAGTTCTTGCCCTTGAAGTGAGCTGTCATGCACAATACGCTACTTTATGAAGCTAGTTATTGGATCACAATGAACCTTTTCCTCTCATTACTGATTACATGACATTACCCTCAGGCAGAGGTCAGCAATCTCTAATACAGACTTGTGATTTGCATGGATTCTGAAAGGCAAATAAGATACCCAAGTACCTTGAGAGACCTTTTAAGAGTTTCCTGTTCCAGTGGAAACTTAAGCTCAGTAGGAACCAGCACTTCTTGCTTTACATGGGCATGAGATACTAGTGACAAGCTGGTTGTTGACATCTATCCAGCAGAACTTTTACTAGGATACATCATCTTAGTGCAGAAGTCTAGCAGAGTGGTGGTATTGAGGCTAACTTTGGGGGGCTTTGCTTTGTTTCAGCTTGTCTCAGGAACAGCTTATATCAACTGGAGGTGTATGGGAGGCATGTGAGCAAGTGTCCAACCTGCCACGAGGTGAGTATTGTAAATGCAGAGCAACAGAACTGGGACATGTTGTCTTGGAATATCAACAGCCTTACCAAGGGCGTTCTAGCTAGAATTACAGAATCATAGAATTTAAGGGTTGGAATGGACCTTAGAGATCATCTAGTCCCAACCTTCCCTGCCATGGGCAGTGACATCTCACTAGATCAGGTTGCACAAGGCCAAGAACAGTGAAGGCTCACTCATTCTCCAAAATCCAACTGCTTTTGAAATGTATAAGCTTGCAGGCCATGCCAGTTTCTTTGCATGGCAACAGTACAGCTTGAGCTCTGCAAAAAGTTTGACCCTCAAGATCTAATGGTTACATTAGATGAATGTTGTTGCAAACTGATTTGAAACAGTGTGGCACCATGGTTGTCCTCCTTTTGCTTTTGCAGATAACCAGGCAGCTGTTGCATCGGCTCTGGCTGCATGTCTAGGTGTGGTCAAAGATGCTGTGGAGGAGATGGAACATGTAAGGAAGCTCCTAAGCCTTAGAGGAACCTGCAGTGGTGGATTCATAGATTCATAAATATTCTGAGTTGGGAGGGACACAGAAGGATCATCGAGTCCAACTCCTGGTCTTGCACGGGACAGCCCCAGCAATCCCACCATGTGCCTGAGAGCATTGTCCAAAGGCTTCTTGAACTCTGACAGCCTTGGGGCCGTGACCACTTCCCTGGGAAGCTGTTCCAGTGCCCAGCCACCCTCTATGGTGGTTCAGTGATGGAACATGGGGATTGTTTCATATATATATGGGCTCTGATTTAAAAATTTTTCTAATATGACCTAGATTATTGTTTTACGCATGGATTTTAATGAGTTTTTAATATCAAGCCTGGTTTACTTTTATATCAGGTTTCCATAAAATCATGTCCTGCACAGGGGGGTGTGGGGCATGTGGGAGACAGTTTAGGTTGGTGCAAGAATGGCAGTATTGACCACATTCTTGCTGTTATCTTGGTTGAATTAGAGTGGGGATTAGACTTTCTTAATACAGTCCTTCTAGAATTAACCAACCGAGATTCCTCCCTTAATTATTTCAGGCACTAGTGGAAGGGCAGGATCCCTACGGTGACATCATGGAAGATGAAGAGCTGGGATTTCGGGGCAACAGAGATACATACTGGTCAGAAGCTGACCGACAGCTCCTTAGCTCCTGCATGGGTTTGATGAAGGCTTCTAAAGCTTGCCTGAAGAAGGTCTTGGGTGTAGTGAAGGCTTATGGTAAAGCTGATTCTCCAGAGCAGATTGCTCAGCTGGACGATATTGCAGACATTGCTAATGAAATCAGCCCGAGGTAAGCAGGTATTTCCCCCTATGCAATTTTTTGATCTAGAGCAGTCCTGGTCTTTCTCAAGCTCTAGATAGCAGATTAGGACAACCTTTATGATAGTGAAGATGTGAGCAGGTAGTGGATGCAGGTCTGGTGGGAAGACTATTATGGCATATGCTATTGAGAGTTGTGCAGGTCAGGAGAGGAACATATGTTCTCAGAGTGAGTGTTGGCTTTGACCAGGACCCATGAGTTGTGCTATCAGGACCTTTCTTCCATTGTTCTCCTCTTCTCTGTTCTAGTGTTGATGAGCTGGCTCTGAGCATGTACCCACCTGTGAACCCGTTGGCTGTGAGACTCAATGTAAGTATCCACAGCCTGTGTGTGGGACTGTTGCCTTGGCTGTAGAGGAGGGGAAGAAATTGAATTGGAGGGATTGACTGTCAGGGAGAGGTGGATGTTAGTGACTGTCTCAGTAACAAGTTCTTAGGGATGAAGAGTCCCCTTTGGTTCTTGCACACTTAGCTTCCTTCAGGTAGAAATACATTCCTCATATTTACTTCTTCAGGGAAGAGCATGAGCACCTGCAGCTTTAGCCCTGAACTATCATCCATAGAGGTGTCCAATGTTAGAACCTCAGGAAGGTGAGGTCTAAGGCTGCTGATGTACAGCATGCCTACTTTCATCCTTGGGTAATGCAAACTTGCTCAAATAAAGATATCTAAATTAAAAATACAGATGAAAAACTCTTACAGTGAGTGTACTTAAGCACTGAAATGAGTGGAGCAGTGGAATCTACATCTTTGGCAATACTCAAAACTTGACTGGGCAAGGCTCTGAGCAACCTGACTGAACTTCAAGGTGGGCCTTGCTTTGAGCAGGGGGTTGTACTAGCTGACTTCCAGAGGTCCCTTGCATCATAAATTAAGTACATGTTTTTTCGTATTTGAGGTTTTTTTATTCTTAATTCTGGTCTCGTGCCTTTGGCCAGTGGCTTGATTTTTTTGGAATAAAAAAAGTATTACTTAATATCAAACTGCATTAACGTCAGTCACTTTTAACTTCATGCCTTATTATCAGTTGCCAATTTCTAGTAAGCTTATCCTTTTAAAGAAAAATGCATTTTAATGTTGCTTTATAAACCAGCCTGTCTTTATTTTGACCTGTCCCAGACTGTTCAGTAGGCTGAAGACACTTCCAGCATGGCAGTGATAGATAGTTTCATTCTGCATCAGGATTGGTGGCAGTTTTA